ATGTGGTCTTTATTTGTGATAGCACTGTCATTTAGTCTTCATGGTGATAACAATAATGTGGTCTTTATTTGTGATAGCACTGTCATTTGGTATTCATGGTGATAACAATAATGTGGTCTTTATTTGTGATAGCACTGTCATTTGGTATTCATGGTGATAACAATAATGTGGTCTTTACTTTGGTAAGCCCAATGTGCATTCATATTAATATATTAAGACTGTCTGTCCTCCGCTTTTATATTATAAATATTATATGTTGTTGTTTTTTTTGGGGGGGGGGGTAAAATATCGAGGTTTTTTTGTTGAAGGAATACTAGAGGTACTTTTGTTGGTTAAAATATTAAAGGTGTTTTTTGGGGGTGTAAAAATATAGAGATTTTTTTTGTTGAATAAGTACTAGAGGCATATTTGTTGGTTAAAATATTAAAAGTGTTTTTTGGGGGGTAAAAATATAGAGGTGTTCTTGTTGAATAAATACTAGAAGTACTTTTATTCTTTAAAATATTAAAGGTGTTTTTTTTGGGGGGGGGGTCAAATTATAGAGGTGTTTTTGTTGAATAAGTACCAGAGATACTTTTGTTGATTAATATATTAAAGATGTTTTTTTGGGGGTATAAATATAGAAATGTTTATGGGGGGCCAAAAAACTAGATATTTTTTGTGTTTTAAAACAACGAAGTGTTTTGGCCGGTTATGAAAAATATAAACAAAAATAGTATCAAAGTTTTGAGTAAAGGAGGAGATTACATATTACATTTATCTGTTTCAATTTTCTCGTTCTTTATAGAAAACTAAATCAAGGTGGAGAGCTAATACACGTATATGTGTGGGTGTGAGAAGCCCAGCATTTGGTAAACAGTAAGCAGGCCTTCTATGGCATGTGTAAAATATATGTGAAGCAGAAACAGTAAGACAGTGCATTAATCTTTAATGACGCCGAAGTCTTTTATCATCTTTCTTGTATTATTATTTTTTTTATCCCGCAGCTTTCTACGGTACACGGAAACCACACCGTAACCATGGTTACAAACAACGTTCTTGATTATTTCATGAACCAGATGTAGGACTATCATAAAGGACATAAATATGGTAGTAATAAAAACAATAACCTGTTGACACGAAGCGGGAGATAGAACTTCGAGTTCTTTCTTTAAAAAAAAAAAGACTCCGAAACTAATTATCGACGTGTGTTTGAAATCCTCTGTTTATATTCTTCCTGTTTGACTAATTATCGATGTGTGTTTGAAATCCTCTGCTTATATTCTTGCTGTTTGACTAATTATCGATGTGTGTTTGAAATCCCCTGTTTATATTCTTGCTGTTTGACTAATTATCGATGTGTGTTTGAAATCCTCTGTTTATATTCTTGCTGTTTAACTAATTATCGATGAGTGTTTGAAATCCCCTGTTTATATTCTTGCTGTTTGACTAATTATCGATGTGTGTGTTTGAAATCTTCTGTTTATATTCTTGCTGTTTGACTAATTATCGATGTGTGTTTGAAATCCTCTGTTTATATTCTTGCTGTTTGACTAATTATCGATGTGTGTGTTTGAAATCCTCTGTTTATATTCTTGTTGTTTGACTAATTATCGATGTGTGTTTGCAATCCTCTGTTTATATTCTTGCTGTTTGACTAATTATCGATGTATGTTTGATATCCTCTGTTTATATTCTTGCTGTTTAACTAATTATCGATGAGTGTTTGAAATCCTGTGTTTATATTCTTGCTGTTTGACTAATTATCGATGTGTGTTTGAAATCCTCTGTTTATATTCTTGCTGTTTGACTAATTATCGATGTGTGTTTGAAATCCTCTGTTTATATTCTTGCTGTTTGACTAATTATCGATGTGTGTTTGAAATCCTCTGTTTATATTCTTGGTGTTTGACTAATTATCGATGTGTTTGAAGTCATCTGTTTATTTTCTTGCTGTTTGACTAATTATCGATGTGTGTTTGAAGTCATCTGTTTATTTTCTTGCTGTTTATGCGTATGGACTCCGGCTTTGAGTCCATCTTGCACCGTTGCTGCTTTGGACGGGTCGTTAGCAAACTCTATTGACCTATAAATTTATCTTCTGCAGACTGCCAATGGTTTTAGTGAATTCCTCTTAGTTCTCTTCAGTAGAGACGTGACAACCAAAGAGCAGTCAAATCAAAGGAGGAAATCCTTCAGTCCAGACCGTATTGAACCTTCCGTCTCGGCGTACGGCAAAGGCAAGCCGTCAGTCGGATTTGAGCTCGTAGGAAAAACAGTCACTCTGAGGCCTGTGAGAGTTGGTTCCGCGATAGCTGGGCTTTTTGTGACCCGCATACTTAACTGGTGGTCGAAGCAGATCTTAAACATTGCGAGTCGGCTACTTGATTACAGTTTCTCTCTGCCAGCGAAGAAATGACGGCTGTGGTCTGGTTTCTGACGGCTCTTTCGGTAGCAGGTAGGCTTATGTTGTAACTGTTCTACCTAGCTCAGGCTCAATATTATACACACGAATTGATATCTATATCTAAGTCATGCTCAATATCATACATACAAATTAATATCTATATCTAGCTCAGGCTGAATATTATACATACAAATTAATATCTATATCTAGGTCATGCTCAATATTATACATACAAATTGATATCTATACCTAGCTTAGGCTCAGTATTATACATACAAATTGATATCTATATCTAAGTCATGCTCAATATTATACATACAAATTGATATCTATATCTAGCTTAGGCTCAATATTATACATACAAATTGATATCTATATTTAGCTTAGGCTCAGTATTATATATACAAATTGATATCTATATCTAGCTCAGGCTTAGTATTATACATACAAATTGATATCTATATCTAGCTCAGGCTCAATATCATATATTCAAATTGAAATCTATATCTAGCTTAGGCTCAGTATTATACATACAAATTGATATCTATATCTAGCTCAGGCTCAATATCATATATTCAAACTGATATCTATGTTCCCTGTGGTTCAAAATCAATTTGTCATTAATGTTATCAAGATGTAGGAATACCTTGAAATAATCTGGGGGATTATATACATTTCTTACTACGTCAATGAAAGAGGAACTTAAACAGAGTTAGTAAGTTAATTATACAGGCATGAAGAGACGAAAAAAACTTCATGATTTTTCGGTTTTCACTTACTGTAAAAAAAAAAAAGAAAGGGAACCCGTTAAACAAGATTTGTTTTAGTTGTGTTTATTCGCTCACGGTTAATTTTGGTGGTTCGTCCGAGCAACCATCAACCATCTTCTTACAGTAAACTTTTCATGTTTTCACTTTCAAATGATACCATTTGTCATTCTTAAAGACGATCCGAGTGTGTTTGTTTCCGTTAAGCATGCGATCTCTGTGTAGAAATTAGCCCCACCTTAACCACTTACAACAAGTCTGTGTCCTCCTTCATCTAAGATATATTTTAAGATAAAAAATACTCAAGAAGTGTAGAAGTATAAGAATTCAAGTACCTGCAAATATTTATAGTATTTGGGCACGTGTGTATAAAGTTAAAATCGTAAATAATATTCAACATGTAGAGTCGTCGACTTTTTGAAGGCCATAGATAGGCCTAAATAAAATGTTTTTTATTGTGTACCAGTTTAACGTTGAATATTATTTATTATTTTAACTACAAATATGTTAATTAAACGGTATGTCTTGGATGTTTGTGAAATCAGGCTTTGCTCGGATATTTCAACCAAATCAAATAATCTTAAACTGAAAAGTTTTGAACACCGAGAGAACGATTTAGCCCTTAAAGTCAGATCACAAATTCTGACGTCATTTCTAATGCTTATTCCAAAAGCTTCCTTTCGCATAATTACCTCACAAATGGACAGCTGATTGGTTGTACTTCACAGCAACACATATGGACAACGAATAACAAGATTTGTATCTGTGCTTCGTTCTCTCAGTCACTAAGGTTTAAGAGTAAGAACCATGGAACTTCAAAGTGTAGTTGGAATGGATTAGTTTCACACGATGACAATTGGCGTATTATGTTGGTGAAGCGATTCAACAACAGATGCAGAACATTTGAGTTTAGTCATAAATATGCAGTTAAAACACTATGAACTTTAGATCCATATAAAGAAAATAAGCCATCGCAGCTGGATTTATATTATTATTATATTTTATTCAAAAGCAAAAATAAATATATTTCAATTCCTATCAGTATTTAACTTTTTTAAATAACAAGAAAGCGTGCTCGTATCGGACTGTCCGTACTGTTAGCTGAGGGTGCATTATAAAAGTGGCAGCCATTTTTATTATTCCATTAAAAATAACCGCGTAGATGCTGTTGACTGGTTGCACTCCCTCAGCTAAACAGCTCAAAATTAGGGATAGCTAAGACTGAAACTTGAGGTATCTGATTTGCCTCTTCAGCCCGTATGTCGCATAACCTGTATGTTTGTTGGAAATACCAAATACTATGAAACTCGACATGAAACGAAATTGAATTGATTTGCCGACACCTCTTTCATGCTTTACTTTGTTAAATGTTAGATTATGTCTCCATATCTGTAAATTTATAATTTCTTTTTTATCTAGTGGTATCTTTATCATTTATCTCCTATATCACTAATATTAATTTACCGAGTGATCCCTTAACTTATTTCAGTTCCTGATTCTGGAGTTCTAAGGGTACAGTTTCCCCTAACTCATATCAGTTATTGGGTTCCTGATCCTAAAACTCCAGGGGCACAGCGTAACGGTTTAAAATGAACCCCCCACTACAATTAGAGTTCAACAGCAAAAACACAATTTATTCACAAAATAATTGAACGATAAAAACAACCATAATCATAGAAAAATAGAATTTGCTATTTTACAAAAAGCATTCCTTAACTTGCACCTTCCGTTAGTGTGTAGTCCATTGAATACATTTATTTCTTGTAAAATGCTCACACTATGGTTAATCAAACTAATAGTGCCAGTTTCTTTACATTTGACGCAGATATAATTATTACATAAACAAAGTATATCTGTGCTTAACAAATCGCAAGGAATTTTTTAATTGTTACATTATTCTCTACATTTATGTGTTTAACAAGATTTTCTTCCGGCTCCAGGGATTTATAAGCTTCGTAATTCACAATGGATTGATTATTCTGATAATGTGTAACACTACCATTGATAAATTTTAAAAACCATGATGAATCAACTACACTGGTGAATTGCATGCAAAATTAATTCATAGATTAATAGAAAAGCACAGTTGACCAAACAACCTTTGTAAATTAATGGGCTTTAAAATTCATGAAGGTTTAATCCTTGATAAAACTATAGCTTCGCTATGAAACAACGACATCAGATAAATCTATGAAACCCGCAGCCAGTGATAAGTTTGTAACTTCACCACGAAACAATCACAACAGATAAATCTATGAAACATGCAGCCAGTGATAAGTTTGTAACTTCACCACGAAACAATCACAACAGATAAATCTATGAAACATGCAGCCAGTGATAAGCTTGTAACTTCACCACGAAACAATCACAACAGATAAATCTATGAAACATGCAGCCAGTGATAAGCTTGTAACTTCATTACGAAACTATCACAACAGATAAATCTATGAAACATGCAGCCAGTGATAAGCTTGTAACTTCATTACGAAACTATCACAACAGATAAATCTATGAAACATGCAGCCAGTGATAAGCTTGTAACTTCATTACGAAACAATCACAACAGATAAATCGATGAAACATGCAGCCAGTGATAAACTTGTAACTTTACTTTGGATTAAATCAATTATACATGACAATCTTAACTTTCCCCTTTAGTGAATTTCCACTTTATAATAAATCCCAAAAAATGTTAATTATTCATGTGAAATTGCCAAACTAATAATTAAACTCATTTTAACTCTTTAAGATAAACGAAACGGTTATTGAATAAAAGTTAACACATAAATTGATACAACTTATCATTCATCTGTAGACACCGTTTTCCATCGTTTTCCTACGTTGTTTATTAGTCTAATATCAGTGTAGAAGTCTCCATGTACAGTTCGTCCAAAATGTCTACTTACTTCTTAAGCCTGTCCTTATTACTTTGGAAGATTATTTATTAGGTTACTACAGTCTCCTAACTAAGACGTAATCGACCATACTTCAAGTACAGGTGAACATACTCTTAAAATAATTACAATAAACCACTAGACATATAAAATACTTATTCAACCAGTTATTGTTTATAGTACTTTATGAGTGCTGGTAAAGAGAAATATATGTTATAACAGCTAATATATATATACACACACAAGACTATTAACCCGTGATTGAAAAAAAGGGTCCACTTTTCGAAACATATCAGATTATTTGGTTTATTTTTTTTTCTGATTCGAATTATTCTTATGTTAATTTTACACGCTTTTGAACATGATCAATGCTCATAATACAATACGTTAGGGATTCTCGTCGGGATTTTCTGATAGGCATGTACCTAAAATACAGAAATTGATTAGTTATTTCGTTTGTTTCTTTCAGACCTGTTTTGCAAAGATACACAAAGGACTACCTGCACACAGCCGTCATAATCTTAAACTGAAAGAGAAGGCTAGTACTATCTGCATAAAGAGCTAAACATTTTTTAATAACAACTGGCCGAAGATAACTTAGAATTTTAAAGTTGTTTATAAAATCCACAGAGGAAAACAACAACGTATATATCAAACTAGTTTTGATTCCACTACTCACTACCTAAACGAGAATTTACTATGCAAATAAGAGACATTATCTCAAGTCACAGAGTTCTGTATTAGCAAATATTTTACAAGTTCTACTGTAAAATGATGCAGACGAGTCAAATGTTCATATTAAGTGTATTTAGAAGAGTCAAATGTTCATATTAAGTTTATTTAGACGAGTCAAATGTTCATGTTAATTATATTTCATCAGCTGAAAGTAGAGTCAATATTCAACATTCACATTTTCATTGTGTCATTAGCTTTATCAGTTTAAAATGATGTAAGTTAAGCACTACGATTAAGCGCCCATAGATCATTACATTAGCAGCAAAGGACCCTCCAGTACGCAAACAAAAACAAATAAGTGGCTTGGGCTATTCGACTGAAACTTTTATTCAACTGCGTTATGTATCTACCAGCTAAACTATTATCGATTGTATAACTCACGTTAATAGTGTTTTAAAAATAAGAGCTAGAAGTTTGACCATAATCGTCTTCTGTTGTTTGTTGCCTTTCGCTTTGCGTCAGATTTATTGAGTCTAAATAGAAATACTTTAAGATTCCTTTCTTCAAATTACATAAAACCAATTTAACGTTCAGCTAACTGCTGCCACTAGAGTGCATCATTGGTGTAGTAAACTTCTGAGAAGTAGGAACTGTTATGACCTAGAACTTGTATATCGTATCTTTTGAGATGATTAACATTTTGAAGAAGGGCACT